TCAAGAACCTTTTCAGCATTAAACCACATTAATTTGCTGCTTTAAGTTTGAAGCAGTTCACACGTTTACATCTTCACATATTCGTCTATATTTCGATGGTGTCTCGTGTTTTAATGCTTCGTCATGTTTTAAGTCTTTTACACAATAAACACTGAACAAAACTTTAAAAGTCACATTACAAAAAACGATCCCAACGACATATTTATTCCTAAATCATGAATTCAGAGGCTGAACGAAGTGAAATGTCTGCTGCAGTTTGTTGTGTTTAAAGGTTCTGCTCAGTCCAACAGGATTCAGGCTCATTTCAGTGATACTTGAAGTAGTTTCACCTTTAAAGTCAGATTTAGGTTCTGAAAATACATCAAGGATTTAACCTGCATTAGCTGATTGTGTCCACTAGGGGGCAGCAGAGGACTCTCATGTGGGGATGTTGGAATCTGAATTTGTTTCTGTTTGTGCAACTTTGACTCATTTTACTGATGAGTGCACGTTTTATTCAGATCATGTCGTGTTAGAAAGTAAACAGACTTCTGTTAAAACAGATGAAGCTGCAGAAGTTCATTCTGTGGCTGCAGCCAGTTTATGTGGATCAATGTGCAAAAACGACTCACATGAAAAACTACATGTTGATAAAAGACGCTGCTGATATTCAACACTTATCAGATCGTACTGACGCCAGATAGTCAGGAGAAATTTAAACAACAAAATGACAAATAAAGATCATCAAACTCTTCTATTCATGCGTTTTGTTTGTTGCTTTTTCTGCAGTTTTTATGTAAAGGAAAACACTACGGCGATAATTCAACGTATAGTTATAATATATACGATCTCTGTGTTTTCCGCATCAGACTCGGTGGTTGTTTGAGCTCTAAGCTGAATAATCTCAATTTCTGCTGCATTTAAACCTTCTGTACGTTCTTAGAAACGCTGGATTCAGGCTCCACTGATCCTAAAAACGAAGACAAGTGAAGGATTTAACCTGCATTAGCGGATTTCAGCCACTTGGAGGCAGCAGAGGACCTCATTAGGGGGATATTACATCCTGCATCAGTTTACAACGGAACCAGAACAAAGAGCTTCGTACCTCCATTCCTGTTTTCGGGTCGAGGTCGTCGTCGCAGTCCGACTCGTCCGACGTGTGGACGTCCTGATGGAGGAGGAGGAGGAGGAGGAGGAGGAGGAGATGATGGAGATGTCAAACAGAAGCAGCAGGTAAAAGGAAGGAGAGAAACTCAGACGTGAGAAGGAACAAAAGCAAAGAAAGAAGTGAGGACAGAAGCAGAATAAGGACGGAGGGAGTCAGTCGGTCCTCATACTCACCTGAAACTCAAACTGACCTCAGGACTCACCTGGTTCGTTCTCTGCTGCTGAGGCTTTACATGAACATGTTTTAAGGAGGATTCCTGCTCGTCAGGATCACCTCTGAGGCATCGGTACCGTTTCTAACCGAGTCTTATTGTATCTTCAGTAACACGTTGAACTCGTCGTGAACTAAAGTCTCCATGTTTATCATCCAGTCTCCTAGAACTCTGAACCTTCTACGACGGAACCACTGAAACATGAACCTTCATCACAAACAACAATCCTGTGTTTTGGTTCTATCAGGTTTATTAAAGGTCAAAACCTGCTGGATCATAAACACTCAAACAGCAACGCTCATGATTGGTCGGACGTCTTTTCACCACTTCTGGTTCCGTCCACCAGCTTCTGGTCCATCTCTGACTCCTCTGGACAGAACCGCTGCAGTTCAACTAAACTTGTCGTCTTTCTGACTCAGACTTGTTCCTTCATCAGTCCACAGGTTCTGGATGGTTCCAGTCTGGACTTTGGGGAGACCAGTCCAGAACCTTCATTCCAGCCTGATGGAACCATTTCTTCACCACTTTGATGTGTGTTTGGGCTCATTGTCTGGTTGGAACATCCAACTGTGTCCAAGATCAACCTTCTGCTGATGGTTTCAGGTTCTCCTGAACAACGTGGAGGTGATCCTCCTTCTTCATTGGTCCATTAACTTTGTGTAAAGCTCCAGGTCCACTGGCAGCAGAACAGAACCAGAGCATGATGCTGCCACCTCCATGCTTGATGGTAGGTTTGGTGTTCTTGGGGTTAAAGGCCTCACCTTCTCTCCTCCAGACATGGTTCTGCTCAGCGTTTGTTCCATTTGACCAGAACTTTCCTCCAGAAGGCCTTTTCTTTACTTTTTGTGGAGATTTTGACTGTTTGGTATTTTTTTCGCATCTTTTTGTCTGATTTTCCACAACAGAACCAGGTCCAGTGTTCAGACTGAGACACCTGGATGGATGTAGAACTGATCTGGTGTCAGGTTCTACCAGAACCCAGATGTGTTCTTCCTCCTAAATGTCATGTGTCTATCTGCTGTACCGATGAAGTTCTGAGGCTCAGAAATGATGGAAGTGATCAATCTGGACCCTCCTCTGTGGACCTTTAAATATTCCCAGAATGAAGGAAGAACTGAAAAGCTGCTGCAGATAAAGACTCGGCTGATTCTGAGGAGGTCACGTTGACGTTTCATTTTCTTCATTCATAAAAAGGGAAACAAACCATGATGCAGATAAACTCTTCACATGCTGATCTGAAGAGCGTTTATCGTCCACATCAGAGGATCAAATCAAGTCTCGGTGTCTTTGTTATTTGCTTCATGACGTTAGAAAACCACATAAAAAAATAAACTCTGTTAACCAACTGAAGCCAGTGGACTCATGCACGAGGAGGGAGAAATAAACCACAGCAAAAAGACACAAAAGAAAGAAACCAAACCATTTCTCAGTCGGTGCGTTTCAGGGTTCGGGGTGAAGGAATATAAAAATAAATCAAATAAAACTTCTCTTCTTTAGTGGTTCTCAACCGTCTGGTCTCTTTGGATTTTTTTTTTTTTTTTAAATTAATCGTGTTTGAACCAAACCAGCTTCAACCTGAGTTCACGCCTGAATCTGTGACATGAAACCTGAGACAAAAACATCGTGAGAAAGCGTCTGAAATCGGACTTTTTAAAAATCCTGTCGTTGCTTTTCGTGACACTTCTGTTTTTCTTACTGACCACGTGTCAGTTTAATAGAGATTTTGAGTGTTTTATTCTGTATAAACGGCTGCTTTCCCGTAAAGGATCCAGAAAGTTCTCTCTCTGGTCACCGACGGTAAATATTCTACGGGTCACGTTAACTGTGGCGTCCCACAGGGCTCGACTTTAGGCCCATTTGAATATTCAGTAAGAAGCATCAAAGCAACTTATACACAAAAGGACAGAGATACTGATCAGCAGAATAAACAGGCTGTCACAGGTGTTTTTGTGGATTCCCTTCTGCTTTAGCTGCTGTTTCACTTTTAGTCTGTATGTCTTCAAAATTACTGTATTTCTCTATTTAAGTGTTTCAATACATAAGCATTGAAGCTCACTTATTACTGTTATTACAAATTATATATCAAAATGTGCGGCTCGTTCAGGAATGGTGTGCTGAGACTTCTGTTAGCAAGTTGTCTGAAGGTTTTTACGAAATTCGTAAAAAACTGCCGTAAAAATCCCCATTGAAACGAATGGGAACTGTCAGAATCAGCCATCTTTAGACGTCTGTAGCTCTGGAAGATTTTACAGGAGAGGCTTCATTCAAAGTTTAAATGCATCACAAGACTTTGAATATTATTTGTCTAAATCCGTGTCTTGACGTCTTTTACGGTTTTAACACAGTCGTACCTTAAGTTTAATGAATATTTTGAATATCCAGAATTTTTCCACTACATTCTGACCAAATCGTTTATTGAAACAAGTGTCGTTAACCTCGTCTCTTTCTCACAAGTCCTTCTCTCCATGAACCATTTATATATAAAAACGTAGATATTTCTGTCCTCTTCCACCCAGCGTGACCCTCACTGCTGTAGGATTTGTAGTTTTTTCATAAACCACCTCAGAGGTCGGAGTGCGACGTCCAGAACTCTCACTGACTCCCATTATAACTGAGCGCTAAAATGTCAGGTGAAAACCAGAAACAGCGAGACTCTCTGAGCTGCCACCAAATCTGTATCAACAGTACGGACATGAAAACACCTCCGAACGTTCAGAACGAGATTCTGCTTCAGACGGTGAAAGAACTTTGAAAATACGACGTACAGTTTTTGATCTGTGAGCGTTTGTTCGAGCGTCTAATCTTCAGTTTGCTGCTCTGCTCACTGCAACCAGCCGCTGACTCACAGCTGATTGGCTGATTGATGCACTTTCAAAATAAAAGCTCAAAAATGTTAAAAGGCACTGACAAGGGTTAATGAGACATGCTGGATTGTCAAAATAAAACGTACTTACATAACTTATACCTAAAGCAGGATGTATGAAGCTGCACTGAGACACTCGACACTTGTTCAGAACGTTTGCAGGATTAAAGTTTGCTCTTGTTTTGTAAAACACGTCGGATAGCTGAAGCCAGATAAATAAATCACATCCTGGATACGCTGAGCCTGCTTCAGGAAATGTGGAAACCAGCTTCAGAGACTCAGGTGTGAAGCAGGTTGAGAACCACAACACTCAGCACACATCTGGGTTAAGAAGGAAGTCACAAACCGAGTGGGCGGGGCTTAGGGAGGGGCAGGTGAGGGGTCTCGGCACACACATATGACATCACCACCGTGCGCCGCCGTTACTCACTTTGCCCTTCGGCGGGGGGGCGGGCGAGGCGAGCGGGGGAGGGGGGCCGGCGGCGGCGTCTTTGCTCTTACGGAGGAGGCCGTTCTCTTGACCTCTGACCCCCGCCGCCGCCAGCGCCGCCGACACGTCCTTGGCCTCGGCGCGCTTCCTGGCACGCAGCGTGTTCCACGACAGAGACTTCCTGCACAGTACAGGAAGTACAATCGTCAGGCCGACCAATCAGAGACGAGCTCAGCGGCGTCCAGGTGAGTCTGGCTGCAGAGGCAACACGTCGCCCTCTAGTGGCTGGAGTCTATTAATTATTATTTTTTAGATGAATAACGAGATCATTCACTGATTAAAGGCACCAATTATGTCAAAATGTTAAACAAGGTTTTGCTTTCACTTCATGTTGAGCTACATTCCTGGTTATGAACAAATCTGCATCAAAAGCCGACAAAAAAATAAAAACAAAAACAAAATATTATAAAAAAACAGATAAAATCAAATTTGAAATAATAATTAATACCTGAAAATAACATTCACGTAAAAAAATCTGTATTTTTACAAAAGTAAAACGGTGTTTAATTAAATCAGCAAAAACATCTTTGTTTCAGATTTTTCTGCTATAAATATAAATGAAAATGTAAATATTCTGTACTATTTTAATTAAACACAGTTTTGTGTTTAAGCTGCTCGTCTCCGTTCTAATATCACAATTACACAAAATCTGGTAACTTCATTCATTAACTGATTAATTCAACAGAAGAACTCAGTTATTTAAAAATAAAAACCTCATTTTAAAACATTTTAAAAAGTGCATCAAGCGGCTTCCATCAGTTCGCCTGTACAATATTTACATTTATAAATAAATATAAATATAAATATAAACATAAATGTATGAAAGTTGCCCGACGCTGCAGCCAGACTCAGATTCTGGTCGATGAGTTCAGACTGAAGTTACTGAGACGAAGCTTCACTGGAAGAAAAACAGTTTGAAACACAGAAGAACAAGCGGAGATGAAACTGAACCGTCTTCACACATCTGTTGGTCCAAACCTCCTCCAACATCTGGACCTGATCGACTGAATCCTTCAAACTTCACTCAGTGTCCAGAACCTCTTAAAGTGACACAATTTACTAATGAAAGTCATAAATGACTCTTATTGGGCAGGAAATGACCTTAAAACCTGATTTACTCACAGATGTACTTCCTGTTAGTTTCTGTTTATTAGGAAGCTTTTAAAGGATCATTCTGGTTTAACTCAGCTGCTGGATTCCTCGTTAATGTTTCTGTTGTGTGTCTTTAACTTTACACTCTTCACCGTCGTCGTAGAAACTCAGCTCATCCAGGTGCAAAAAAAAAATAAAAAAATAAAAATAAAAAAATTCCTCTTTACAGTTCAACATTTCAAACTGACCTACTTTTCATTTTATTTATTTCTCTTATATTTACGCTTTAAAAAATTACATATTTATTATTTTACTCATTTCTCTTTATATTAACACATTTTTAAATTTACATATTTATTTCTCTTCATATTTTCATAATTCAAACATTTATAGAATTATTCTTTCACTGATTTCTCTTAATATTTCCATTTTTTGAATTTACAAATTTATTTTTTTCATTATATTTTCACATTTTTATACGTACTTATTTATTTTTTTACATATTTAATTTGAATTTAAATATCTTGGTATTTTCTCCTTATATTTACATATTTTTAAATTAAATATTACTTTATTTATTCCACTTTATATTGCCACGGTTATTAGTTTATATAACCACAAAAAGAATAAATATATATTTCTTTATATTTCCACAATTTAAAAAATTATATATTTATGATTTTTTTTATATTCTCACATTTTTATTCCCACATATTTATTGTTTTACGTTTTTTATTTAAATATTTTATTTATTTGTTAATGTTTCACATTTTTCAAATTAAAATTTTACTTTATTTATTCTGCTTTATTTTGTCATTTGTTAATTTGTATATTTTTTCTTCTTTATATTTTTGCATTTTTAATTTTAATTTTTTTTATACATTTATTAAACTATCACATTTTTAAAATGCACATATAGATTTATCATATTTCCACATTTTAAAATTTACATATTTTAAAAATGTATTGCTCATATTTTTTTTAACCATATTTAATTTTAAAAAAAAAACATATTTTCCTCAAACACACTTTTGTTCTTTGAGTTGGAAAATTCCCAGAATCTCGGCATCGAGGGTGAAACGTTCGAGTTCACATGAATTTACACATTAATGGGAAATAAACTGAAGTTTTACTTTAATTTATCTTTAATACGAACACTTTAAAAACCGAAGCAGCGTTTTGTGATTTTCCGTCGGATCCGGTCGGAACCTTTTGTGGAGCATCAAATCGGGATGTTAGTACAAATTAAAGCAGAAAACACAGAAATAAAACTTTACCACGACAACAACAAAGAAAACGCTGAAATGAACCAAAACAGGGGAGAAGGTGCAAACAGGAAGCTGCTGCTCTGACCAGACCTTCACAATAAGATACCAATAAAAACATTCCTGATCAAATATATTGATGACGTCACACACACGCATGCACGCTCACACACGTTGCTGTTGTTGTAGTTTATTTACAAATATTAAAAACTACAAATCATCTCCAGCCTAAAACGCACAGACAGACAGAACTTCTTCACGTGGCTTCGCTAGCTCATGCTCAAGTCCAAAAGGTTTATTTTACATATTTAAAATACATTTAAAATCATTATTCGGCTACCAACAGTACAACGCTGACCGTCGCCGGTGAATCAAACATATTGCACAGCCTGACTTCATTCATATCGTTTGTTTTTTATCATCATAAATAGTGCAAAAAGGGATTTTCTTTCTTTTTTCTTTTTTAAACAGGAATGTTCCAGAGCCTCAGTCAGAACAAACAAAAACAACAAAAAATCAACTTTGTACAGTGAAACAAAATCAACACGGAGGAAATGAACCCACGTCTGTCCGTGAAATAAAATAATAATTAACAAGGCAGAGAAAACAGAACAACGGAGAGCTGCTCCACAGCGGAGGACTGAGCACCTGGACGGACCAGGTGACACCTGGACGGACCAGGTGAGCTGGTGGGCGGGTTTTTTGCTTTTTTTCATTATTTAAAAAAGAAAAAAACAAAAACAAAAACAGAGAAAACAGTAGAAAAAAAACCAACAGAGGGGAAAAAAAAAAGCAGGTGTTAGGAACTGAAATAAGAGTTCGGTTTTAGCTCCACAAGCTTTTAACTTATCAGTGTTTTTCTTTTCTTTTTTTTTTTTTAAGCCTGAAATCCGTTTTCAGGAGCGACGGCGGCTCAGGAAATAAAAAAGTGGGCGGAGCAGCTTGACGGACAGTGAAAGTACCATTTACCCTCCAAAATAAAAGTCTCCTGCGAGGTCCGAGAGGGGCGGGACCGAAACAAAACACCTGAATGCTCTCGTCCAATCCAGAGGAGGGGGAGGAGTGCGACTTACTTGATGTTGTTGGCGTCCGCCACCGCCGCCGGGAAGGAGGAAGTGGACGACGAGTCTTTTATGGGCTTGGTGGGCGGGCCCAGCACGTGGCCCGGCACCCAGCCCTCGGCGGCCGGCGATTGGCTGTTGGCCGGCCGGTACACCAGGTACATGTTCTGCTGGTTGGTGGCCAGAATCTGGACCGTCTCGCCCTGACTCACACAGATCTCGTTCTCCTTCAGCGCCGAGTAGTCCTGAGACACCAGCATGGTGGACGAGACGCCGTTACAGCCGCCGCCCCCGGCCTCCTGGCCACGCCCACGCCGAGGAGGAGGAGGAGGAAGGAGAAGAGGAGGAGGAGGGGGAGGAGGAAGAGGAGGAGGAAGAAGAGGTAAGTGTGTGAAAAAGGAGAGGAGGAAGGGAGAGGGAGAAGAGGAAGAGCAACAAGATGAAGACCAGGAGGAAGAGGTGAGTCAGAGATGAGCAGGAGGAGGAGGAAGAAGATGAGAGTGAGTGAGGAGGAGGTAGAAGAAGAGGAGAATGTGGAGGGAGTGGAGAAAGAGGAGGAGGAAGAGGAGGAGGAGGGAGGGGGAGGAGAAGAGGTGAGTGAGTGAAGAAGAGGGAGAGGAGGGGATGATCCGTGTGGAGGATGAGGAAGGAGAAGAGGAGGAAGAGGAAAAGAGGATGAGGAGGAGGAGGGAGAGGAGGAAGAGCAATAAGATGAAGATGAGGAGGAGGTGAGTCAGAGAGGAGCAGGAAGAAGAGGAAGAAAAAGAAGACGAGAAGGAGGAGGAGGAAGAGGATGAAAGTGAGGAGGTAGAAGAAGAAGAAGAGGAGGGAGAGGAGGAGGATGAAGATGAGGAGGAGAACAGCAGAACAGACCATCAACAGGTTTCTCGTCAGACGTTTATAAAACACAAAAATAAAATCTGTAGAAGTTGTTTCAGGAAAAGTCCTGGTTCATGAAAAGGTGCTGAAATAACATGAAAGAAATAAAACTTAAACAACGACAAATATGATGAAACGTTTCTCATAAAAACTAAACATCCAGTAAAGTCACAGAAGAACAGCATGAATGTGCAGGTTGACCCTAAAGGACTGCTCCTCTAACAGCTGGTCTACAGGTCCAGGCTGATCCTCTGCTACAGAAGAAGGCCACCCATCAGCAGGAAGCTCCTGAACAACCTCCACAGGGGGTTCAGGAGGAGCCTATAAATCAGAGTGAGGCCCTGCAGACACAACATGTCCAGTGAAGTGGGCCAGAGCACCTGAACAGGTGGCCATTTATACAGTTCATATATTTATAAGCTCCAGCAGCAGCCCAGATTCTAGCCTTCACTTCCAGGACTTCATGCTCCAGTTCCCCGAGAGTCCGCTGCAGCTTTTAGACCAGGAAGCATCAACATGAACCAAAACCGTCCATCTATAGAAATATAAACGTCTACAGCAAGTGTCCACCCAGCTGGA